TCACTCACTCTTTGTTATTTCACTCACTCAGCTCTTGGAGCACTGAACAAAGTGAACATTGAACAAAATACTAATAGTATAGATCTCTAGACATCAAAGATGTGCTCACTGCTCACAAACTGTTTTTTGAATTTATCGAGTACATTATTTTGTGTATATGCCAGGTATGCTCTCTCATACACAGCCATTGAATAATTTGATTGCGGTTTATTAGATCAGGCAGTCCACTTCTGACCTGTAGGCATAGAGTTACCCCCTTTTGCTAAATATATGACATTGAATGATAAATTACGTAAGCCAAAACACATAAAAATCAAGTAAAATATGCTGTTTCGGCAATTTAATTGAATTTTGAACTGAGGTGTGTGTGTTTGTGGTGGGGGGAGGGGCTCAATCTTAACCTTTAGTACCCGGCCTACGCCACAACTTAACGACAGGAATGGAATTCATTTGGTGATGTCAACATAAATATTTTCAATCGAAACTAATTTGTTTGGACTCACGGGTAGATCTAGATCTAGATCTTGATTGACACGATCATGGAAAGTTCCTCAACAATCAACAATCCAGATTCTAGGTGCAAGCTGGCAAAAGCGATGCTCGTGCTCTGACCAGCTCGCGTACAACCACCGCAAAAGTTGGAATAAATAATTCAATTACACACGTGGTTAAAATTTAGAATAATGTAGTTATCATAAATGCATAGAGTTACATCTATGCATAAATGTAATACATTTTAAAATTAATTTGGTTTTTGTTGCTGTTATTTTGTTCGTTGTTTTTTTTTTAAGTACATATAAATGGTTTGCCGTACTTCCAGAAATCAAGAAAAAGATTACGCGTCCACTAAAATTATATAATATAGACAGGCCTACAGATCTAAATCAATTTACTCTGATAGACAATATTACTTCTAGTTTTATGTTTGGTGCTTGTTACTTGTTACTAAGCTGTTTAAAGGCGGGGTTTTTTACCTAATATTTTATTTGAGGGGTATGAAGGGAGGGGTCTTCTGTAGGCTATATTTGGGTTGGTTTTGTGTGTGTGTGTGTGTGTGTGTT